GTTTATAAGAAGAGTAGAATATATAGAAATAATCAAAAGTACTCATGACAAAACAAGAGCAAAGATTGAGTTTAAAGCAGGCACCTATGATGAAAAAAAAATGAATAAGATTTGGTGTCTGCCTTTTATGAATCAGGTATTAGTAAGAGTAACAGTAGAAACTAACAACTTTGAATTACTTCATATAAGAAACAGATTTAGCAAAAGACTACTAGACCTACCAGAAAACACAAATGAAGTACTGCACTGGAGGCAGGTCAAAAACTCCAGTGCCAAAGCCTTACACATTTTCCAAAGTTCCAACAATAACAATATAAGTAGTGCGACAGTATATTTTGAAAATCAAGAAGATATGATAAATACCTCTAGATTTTTGATGTATTATTATAATAACAAGCTAAGATAGGCAAATACAAGAGACCAAGAAGTGGAATTACTAAAAGATCAGAGAGCTAAAGCCTTCAGAGAGAATGAAGTAATTATCAAATGAAGTGAAAAGAGCTTAGAAAAAAGAAGAGAATTCGAACAAGAACAAGAAGAAGAATGCTCAAAACATGTGCAAGAAAGAGCACAAAGAAGAGAAAGTCATCAGCAAGAAGCTTTAATTAGTCTGGCACTAAAAGAGCATAAAGAAAACTAAAAGACATATAGATGAGCTCAGACTACTTCAAGCAATAGCGAAGAGGAAATTCTCAAAACAGAAAGAAAAAGTAATATTCGAAAGAAAGTGAGGAGCAATGAGAGAGAAAATTTAAATAAACAAAGCCATCATACAGACCACAACAAATCTCTAGATTGCATAGCTCAATTAATGCATAATTTAGAAGAAAAAATCAGAGATCTGGAAGGTAAACTTCCAAATCGCTTTTAACCTATACACTAGTTGAATTAAAGAAAGCCTTACTTGCACAAGAAAGAAAACTTGTACAAGGAAATAAGGCATGGCAAGAGGTAAACCAGACCAAAGAAGGTACTAGTGCAAGTAAGAAAATTAGAAGCACAATAGAGACTAGAAAAAAGGTTAAAATAGCAGCACATAATATTAATAGTTTGAAAGGCAATAGGCATAAGTTAGACATTTTAATAGATATATTCAGGGAAGATAACTATGACATAATAAGGATAATAGAAACAAATATCACAGAAAAAGAAGGCCAGTACATAGCTAGAACTCAAGGGAATATACATAGTTTTTGGTCTAATACAAAAAAAGGCAAAAACAAAGGCTCAGGAGTAGGTATAATCATAAGTGAAAGATGATCTAAGCATATAGGGCAAATCAGAAGATATAGTAGCTACTTACTAGAAATACATTTCTTTTTTAAGCAACTAGAAATAGTATTTTTTGTAGTCTATATAGCACCAAATAGCTAATTGAAAAGTAAAGAAGTACAAAGAATAATAATGAAAGAGATAGTGCAGAGAAAACCAAATATGCACTTCATCATAATAGGTGATTTTAATCACATTATACAGCCAAATATAGATAAGAGCAATAACACAAATGGCAACTTTAAAAAGCTACCTCTACATAGTTGGATGACAAAACAAAACTTTATTGACACCTTTAAAGAGCTATAACCTAGCAAAAAAGAATTTTCATAGAGTAATAGCAAGGATAGTACAAGAATAGACCAAATCTGGATCTTAGATAGTCTAATTTTTGGCCTTAAAGATGCACTAATTGAAGAAATGAAGTTAGAAACAGGTAGTGATCACAACCTAGTAGTAGCAGAAATACTTCTAAACTATCTAGAGTTTAAAGACAAGTTGGCGCAAGTTAAAAGAAAAAGAATAAAGAGAACAATTTTCTTGTATGACAAAGCAATAGAGGAAAATTGAAATGACTACTAAAACAAGCTACAGAACTTGCTCAAAAAGAAGCTGAATAAGAAGTTATGATCAAATGAATAACCTGAAAAAAGTAGCAAAGAATCTATAAATATTATAGATTTAAACAAAAAATAGGATATTATAAGCAACAGCATTAAACAAGCAGCAGAAGAAAATATTCCTCACAAAAAAGTGCTAAACTCAGATTGTAATAAAGCTTCAAAAAAAATCTACTTAGAATTGCAAACTGCAATAAATTCGATAAGAAAACTAGTCAAAGAATGCAAAAGGAAAAAGGGGACTAGTAGAACTGAAGAAAGACAAGCAGAAACTGAACAAGAAATGAGAAAGATAAATGAAAAAATAGAGCTAAGTATAGTAATACCAGGAACTCTTTGAAGTGATCAGCTACATGAAGAACTCTCAAGATAATGGTCAGTACTTAAAAGCAGACTGGTAACAGAGAATAGTTTAGTAAGCAGACTAGAAATAAGAGAACATATAGACTGCAGATATGAAATGATATGAGATAATCAAAGAAGAATGATTAATAGTCTGCTAGAAAAACCTTGTAAAAAAGTAGTAATCGATAGACTACTCTCAGATAAGAAAGGAGTTAGAGAGCTCTATAATAAACCCAAAGAAGTCCTTCAGAGAACAGCTAAGTACTTTAAAAAGCAGTTCAAAAAAAGAGACTTAAACAAGAAGAATTCTTGCATAGTTGGAAAAAAGTATACAAACCAATAACGAGAATTAAGGAAAGCTACTACAGAGATTTGAGCAGTAGAGTAACCAAAAAGGAATAGAACTCAATGCTACAAAAGCTTAAAACAAGTACAGTACCAGGTTTATTAGAAATTAGATATATTCTGATCAAATGAGCAAGTGCAGAAACACAAGTAGCTTTTAGAAATTTTGCTAGTAAATGCCTAAAAGTAGGAAAAATTCTGCACAAATAGAAAATTGAACAGACTTATCTAATTTCTAAAGATGTAGACTGGCAGTATAACTTAAGCAATATAAGGCTAATAGTATTTCTAGAAATGTTTAGAAAGTGTGTAACTAAAGTTTATACAACTAGGTTAGAAAGAAAAATAAGAGAAAACAATATAGTCGAAGGGTCAACCTTTGCAGAGCTAATAGGAAGCTCAACAGAAAGCCCAATTCATATCTTAAGTATAATAATAGAAGAAGTGAAAGAAAAAGACAAAGAGCTTTGGATTATGCTACAAGATATGAAAAAAGCATTTGACTCTGTAAGTCTGAACTCTTTAAAACTAGTATTGCAAAGAATAAAGGTATTAGCAATAGAGCAGGATTTTATACTAGATTTGTTCGAAAAATAACAAACTAGAATAATTACTGCACTAGATCTTACAGAATCAATAGAAGCAGGAGATAGAATAGAACAAGGAGAAATAATCTCACCCCTAATACAGAGAATTTTCTATGATCCTCTGCTAACCAAAATCAAGGGAATCTCTCAGCTCGGATATAAAATAGAAGTCTCCCAAAGAGAAAATCTTGAAGAAAATGAGATAAGACTCAAAAGATAGGACAAGCTGTAGTTGCCTTCGCAGATGATACCACATGGATAGCAAGTTCTAAAGAACAGCTTGAAGAAATTATTCAAGTTGCAGAAGATTTTTTCAAGATTAATAATATCCAGATAAATCCATTCAAATCTAAGCTTATTACAATAAATTCTAGAGTTCAGAAAGAAGAATGCAAAATCATAGTAGACAGTTAAAAGGTCTATGCAACTAGAGAAAAAGAAGCAGTAAGATTTCTAGGAATTTGAATAGGACAAAAAGTAAGCAAAAAACAAATTGTGTTGAAAACTAAGCAAATAGCAAGACTTTTTGCTAGTATAATTAGGAAAAAGATAGTCTCAACAAGCCAAGTATTGTATATAAACAATATATGCCTAATACCAAAGCTAGAATATATGCTACAAAATATCTTCTTGACCAAAGATGAATGTGAAAAGATCCAGCAACCATACATGATGATAGCTAAAAACAAACTAGACTTAATAAGAACACTTTCTAACTTTGTAATGTCTCATAGTGAGATCCTTAATATACGTACATTATGAAATACATTAAAAACTAAGCAAATATTAAATCTTATGAATAGACTTAATAAGAATTGCAAGGTTAAGAGCATTACAGAGATCAGAATAAGACAAGGACAACAAATTACTCGTTGTTCAAATAGTATCTGAGCTGAAAAGCTAAAAGATAATAAGAAGAAACTACTCAAGAATAATCTAGTAGATCTAATTATTCAGAATAACCTAAATATATGGCTAAAAATAGTAGCTAATTAGATAAATTGGATAGTTGAATCAAGTGGGATACTAATCAAAAGTCTGATGAAAACAGAAACATTTATCAAAGCAGCAAAAGTACTCAGTGATCTTGATATATAGGTATTAGAGCAGATTCTAAATATAGAAGGCTCATACCTATTAATGTGGTAACAGCTAAAAACCTTCAAAAAGAGATCCAAGAAAGGCAAAAAAGCGAATTGGTTTAAAGAAATAGAAGAGAAAGTACTAAATAGCAGAGAAAGTAGAGAAGTTAAAGATGAGTTCAAAACAGATATGAAGAATGCTCTAGGAGTCCAAAATTCGCATGAAGAAGTCTCTCTGAACAAAAGAAAGCATGAATAGATTGTCTATGAGGATGCACAAAGTAAAAGCAAAAAGATAGGAAGAGTGCAAAAGAAAAAAAAGGAGAGCTTCCTGATAGAGCACTGGGAAAACAAAGAAAATACAGAAATGCGAGAAGAAATAGAGAAGTGTAAAGGTTGCTTAGATAATAAAAAGAAAGTATACAAAGAGTGCAGAGGCTGGTAGCTAAAGAAGAAGGTTTTAGGAGCAATTCCGAAGAATTGTTTAAATAGAGAAATGAAAACAATAGACTTTGCGCTGAAATTAATAGCTACAAATAGACTACTAAGAAATAGAGATAATCGAATGGCCTCTTATAGGTTTAAGAGTTGTAGAAGAACGTGAACTTAAAATAATAGAGGTACAGAATTTTGATATGAACGTGACATCTTTATTAAAGGAAGAAGCAAAAGCAATAAAAACAAGAGGTGAAAAGGTATTGGATTTCTATACGGATGGTTTCTTATTTAACAATAATTTAGCTTATAAGAATATTGGTTCGAAATGAATAATCTTAATTTTCAAATTTCTGATGACTTTGATATTCAAAGTATCGATGAAACTGATAACTTTGATATTCAAAGTATTGATGGGTCCGATAATGATATTCAAATTATTGAAGCTGATAACCTTGATATGCAAATAATTGACGGAATTGAAACTATTTATGAAGAGGATTTAGAATCCTTTGAAAAAAATAGTGTAAATATACTATATATTTTTATTAATAAACTTATATTAAATCATTAAATTAATATTTTATAAAGATCTTAAAATCAGATAATGAATTTTCTGACATTGAGGATGATTTAATCAAATTGAATGAAAATCCAATAACTTACTTTACAAAAGAATTGGCATCACATATCGTTTATCATACTTTAACATCTATCGAATATCCTATGACAAGTTCTGAAGGTGTTGCTTATATATATAATGTTGAAGGTTGGGAAGAACTATTAGCTGCATTCAAAGATGTAAGTAATAAAATTTTAAAATTAAAATATTATTGATATTGATAAACTTTACTATTTTTAGATTCAATATTCAATTGGCAAACCTGGTGGTAAATATAAAACTAAGTGTATCTATCTTGGTGTTGAAGAAAAGCGTGAAATGCAGACCTGTCAAGGTTCAAAATTATGTGAATTTGCTGCAGATAAACTTCAAAATGAAACTCATCAAAGTGTGGATACTGAATCAGATCTTATGATGCGAATTACACAAGAAATTTCATCAAATAGTATTAATAATAATACTTTTGAGTAAGTAAAATAAAATTTAAAATAATAAATTAAATAATAATAATTAATTTATATTTATTATACTAGATTTTATCTTGCTGCTTAAGAAATACATTGTAAATTTCAGCAAAATAGTAAACAATGTGAAGGCAAACCTATTTTGTATCGTTTTGCTCGTAGAGATCATTCTGAACTTACATATTTTATTGGATGTACTAATTAGAAAATTACAGAAAAATATCATCGATTTATATCTATTCCTTCTGATATTGATATAAAACTTTTGCATAGCTTGTTTGATAGTACTTATAAGGTAATTAAATTAATATTAATTATTATATTTTAAATTAAAATAAATTAATTTTTTTATTTAATTATTTTAGTCTAAAAATATAATGATAGTCAAATTACAAATTCATGTTATACTGTATTATCTAATTCATCAAAAAAAAAATATTGTGGTATTAAAAATATAAATTAATAAATTAAATTATAAATTTTTAAAAATTATAATTTATTAATAAATATTTAATATTATTTAGCTTATCTATATTAATCAGCAAATAAGCTATGCCGTGGTCATATTAAAAAAAAATCTTGCAATATTGAGTTCTATAAAATTACTCTATTAGATCTCAAAGCATGTCCATTTTTAATTCTTGTATGTAAAGGCATACATACACATTCACCACCACCTCCTATACATACACCTAATTTTATTAAAAAAAGACTTCAAACTCTTATTCAGCAAGCTAATGAAAATTCATTAGATGTTACTCCAACTCATATTATAATGAGTAATAATTAAATTATCAAAATTTTTTTTTATAAATTTAAATAATAAATAATTTATTTAATTTAGATAATTTAATTAAAATTTACTTTGGAGTTGATAGTCTATCTGAAATTCATGCATCTTTTAATGATACAGATAAATTATGTTATTATGTAAATAAAATTCAAAAAGAAAAATATCCACTTAGATAAGATTTATATACAATTTTTCACACAATATTAATAATTTTCGAGAATATGTTCAACGATTAAGTATGTATTAAATTTTTATTAAAATTTATTTTAGGGTCTTATTTTTTATACCCCCCAAATTTATTAACCATACCCCCTTGTGAAATTGCAATTTTTTGCAACTTTGAATGAAGATATCTCAGTACTTATCCAAACAAATTCAATAAATTTTTTTTTATTTTAATTCTACAGATATGTAGAATTCAAATAAAAAAAAATTCATTGAATTTGGTTAGGTAGTTGTCGAGATACATTTGATCAAAGTCAGTAAACAGTTCAAAATATCTATCAAAATTGAAGTAATTTAAAGTTTTAAAACTTT